CAAATTATATAAAAAAAAATACACGTGTTCCGATTATATGAGTTCTTTATTCGCACGTACTCGTGCTACATTCGAGTACCAACTAATCCCCAAGCACGGTTGGAGCCAAATTAGTGTACCAGGCAATCCGTGTATAACTGAGTATACCGTATGGGAACCAACTGTGTTCTGTGTGAGACGGGTTTTAGTCAAGATATAATTATTATTATGTATGCTGCCCGGTTGAGCCCAATTTGAACTGCGAGAAATTTCACCGTCAGTTTATAAAATGTCGCGGACAACTTTTAAATCCGCGAGATTTTATGTCGAAATTGTATAAAATATAGCGGCTTATAGAAACTTTCTAGTTTTTTTCTGTCACATGTATACCGTAAAAAAATCGAGTTTTACGAAGAAAAACTGTGGCATTTTCTGATAAGCCACGATCATTATGATCCGCAATATTTTGTTTTGATGCAAATCTCGCGGGTTTGTAAGTTGCTCGCGGCACTTTAATACGTTAAGTTTCGAAATGGCAGCAACCAGCTACTATACGTATGTATATCTGAACTGCTTGAAAGTCCTGGGTATAGCATCAAAGAGTCGAAGTCTGATATCAAAATAGAAGTGACACTCAAAGACGAAATGATGGTTACTTTCCAGGAGTCCAAATAAGGGACTGAATTAGTGATGGTTTAGAGAGCTACATTCTGTTCGAAGCCGTGTGTGACCTCCTTTAAAGTGACATTATCTTCTATTTTTTCATTGTCAAATTAAGCTGAATTGACATATATTATATTACAAAAGATTGGCTATGGTGATTGACCAACAGTTGATATTGAAAAATGTTTATGGCGAAATATAAATCAGCCTTATTATAAAAAGAATCCCCCACTCCTTTTTATAAACTGAACGTAACAGTTAAATTCTTCTGCATATTAACAGAAATATCCTTGACTACGTGAGTTATTTATCGCTTATGCTAAATAAATTATAAAATTGAAAGGAATTATGGCAAAATGAAAACTGATTTTGACTGTCACCTGTTCACTTACTATACCCTTGGATGGGCATAATGCCACTTTAAAAACATAAAGATTGCCTAAATATTATCATATAGGTGGAAGAAAATGACGGGTTTGACGCTCGAGGGATTACCAAAATACTTGTCTTTGAAATTCACGAAGAAATACAGGTATAGTGGCCCCTGAAACTATACATCATGTAGCTCAAGTTGTGTACAGTTGATCCGTCTTACATCTGCGTATCTTATGAATGAAAGGTTTATGACCTCTAGTTATCTTCTGTCTAGTGTAAATTGGTATGAATTCTTTTCGAAGCCTTCCCTTTGATAGAATTACTATGCACATGCCAAGAGCAATCATCCGAAAAGTAAAGACCAAGATGTTTCTGGCTATTTACTAAGGTGGGGAATCATCATGCATCAAAAGTATTCACTAGATCAGCTAGCTGGTTCTACGGTACCCGTTCGTGCCTGAATAATGCACGGAAGGGAACCCGTGGTCTTCCTCCAGTGAAGCTGCAAAGTCGCAAAAGACATGACCTATATTGGTGCAACGTAACCCCCATCCCCCCCCCGCCACACACACACACACACACACGCACACACGCACGCACACGCACACACACACGCACATACGCACACACACAAAAGTTAAGTGCAAAGGTACGAAAGAGGTAAGTTAAATACAGATTTTTTTACTACATGTAGTCACCAAGGAACTGATTAAAAAGTTCTGAAAGTAAAGTCCCAGACCGTTGCATGATCTTGGCATTCAAGGAGAATATGTTTGACAGTGAACAATTCAGGAGGCTAGGATGACTCTTTAAAACCGAAAAACAGATGTAAGCTGCTGGAGCTTTGTTAGTTAACGGAGGAACATCTTTCCCAACATTTTGAAGAATATATTTTGGATCTATTTTAAGTTTGTCTAAACTTGCTATTACACAAAGGCCTAATTGTTTAATTTCCTTTTGGGATAGTGACATGTTGGGACTTGCAGAATATGAATTTGAAGGACTTTTTGACAGTTATACAGGTACAGGTACTTTAAAAATGTGATACAATACTAATAGTTGCGCAGAATGTATCATCTATTATACTGCTATGTATGGTATGTAATTCTAAGAGTATGCATTAGTAACAATACCGTTTTTGAGAATATATCTTTTACCATCATAACATGATAGTGAAACTTAATTCATCACATAGCTAGATATATTATGTTTTTTTCTGGCGTATAGTTTTAAATTCATGACAAGTTTGGGTTGAATTTTAATTATTATACAGATCTTCTTCAGTTTTCTTTATAACATGTTTTTTATTCCAGTTTTGATGTTAACTTCTGTTTCAAACAAATATGAATACATTTTACTGCTAAGCCCAACAAATTCAATAAAAGGAGTTCCTGCAGCTTTATCTTTAAAATTAATTTTTATTTTTTATTGTAAACGTAATAAATTTTAGACTTCGGGTCAAAATCACTACTATCATATAAATCTCTGTCAGTCTAGAAGTCTTTATATAATGCATTCTGTTTCATAACAAAGGGAATCTGCATTTGTCCTCAAATTCAGAAATAATTTACTTTTATTTTATGCTTTTGAGTGGATTACTGATTTATCCGTGAAAATTATATTTGATAATTTCACAGTTATAATTTCACACTTTTCAATGACGAGACTACTTTTGAAAGATTTTCCCCATGTGGTACCTCAATTTTATCTTTGTCGACAATACTGACATCGTCAGGGCTGTTTAGAGAAAAATACACACTTCCTTCCTCACATTTTGGCCATTTGAACATATTCAAGTATCCTAGCAATAACTGCCTAATGCAATATGAAAACTTGAAAAGTAATGACAGTGATCAACCCGAAGAACAAGTAAACAATCCAGCGTTCGAAAGACAGCCTTTCAACAATTCCATGTTTTCCTAATTCCTAACACAAAATAAAAAGAAAATTTGTTTGTTTGTTTGTTGTGTAAGATGTCATTTTATTTCATCTCGTGAACTTTAAAACAGAATTCTGACTCGTGGCTACGCCACTCGTGAGAATATTGTTTTTAAAGCTCACTCGATGAAATGAAATTCATCTTACACACAAACAAACAAATATCCTCTATATAATGAAAATCATACATTAAATACTTTGATAAATCAAATAAACAATACACATTCTTTTTTTCTATGGATTCCGTATAAATTATTATTAAACATCTTGAACTAACAAATGATGGTTTCGCATGTACTCCAATAGTATCTTTTCACTATGAGTTAATTTGATGTTGATTCACAAACGTAAATTTTCGATTGTTTTTCCAAATACAGAACTATTAATTAATTCATTGTTTAAAATGATTCCTTTGCTTTAGACTTTTTTGTGTATTAAAGTCAATATATTGTTTTAACCAAGGAGAAGCATTAAAAGTAAGAACACGATGTGTCTTAATTATCTTTAAACTTAGTTAAAAAAAATGGTAAAAAGGTCAGTGGTCAAGTGCGACAAAAGCCTCATATACTAAACTACTTTTGCTTGATGATTAAAATTGCATTTGTATCTGTCAAACGCACTTTAGAGTCAGTAAAAGGAACAGACGTTTCAGTGAAAAATTCAAGTGGGAGATAATTTGAAAAATATTTATGCTAGAGCTATGAACCTTAACACATATGATGTGGGTGATGATAAGGTACTACTATTATTTCATTTTAATCACTATTATTTTAGGTAGACCATCAAACTACTCACAGTGATAACCTCCCTTTGCAGATTGTACTTATAAGGGGAGATCACTGCATAGGAGATTGGTGTAGACCATGGGTAATGCCAAACTCCTCGCAGCGGTTACTTTCCTTTATAAGTACACCTGCCACCAAGGGTGTCACATGAGAGTTTGATAACTTTTAAAATAATTCTAAATATTCATTTTATTTATTTATTTATTTATTTATTTATTTATAAACATTTTTTTTTTCAATGAGAAAAAACTTAACTGATAGATAAAAGCTGTAGATAAAACAATTTTTAAAAAATATTGTATATCAGAAATTCTGATACATCGGACCGTGGTGCCGAAGAATGAAGAGGAGATCACTGCGTGGAGAAGTGGTAATACATTACCTCCACTTCGAAGAGTATTCAAATAGTCAACTACATTGAAATTGAGGGGCGTGGGTTCAAACGACAAAAGGGCAACTTTTTTCTTTCTTTTTAACATTTATATGTATCTCTCAGATCCCTTATGGAAGAAAAGAGAAGAGTGATTTTAATTATTTAATTATTGCAGGTATTTATTTGCTAGATAATGCCAAATTTAATAGCAAATATGGTACCAGATATTTTCAAAGTTAAATAAAATAAAAATTACCCAGAAAAAGTATATTATATTTTGCAAGATCAACCAATATACTTTTAAGAAAATTTAGGCAAACCTTGAAAACAGTTCCTCATATTAGGGATATTTTGAATAAGGTCTTTTACATAAGGAAATGGTCAAATAAGTGTTTAAAAGGGGTGGGGTAGGGTAATATTTTTATACATATGAAAAACATTTTTTTTGAAATCAAACATTTTGCATGCTCGTGTGTTTTGTTTAATGAATGTTATTTTTTGTTTCTTAACAATGAGCAATAGTAAAACATTTTTCATAATGACGATATTATAGATTATTTAGAGTTTCCTCATTTCTGAAAAAGACCTTCTAATAGCAAAGTTTTAGTCCAGTAATATATCGATAACTGATAAACCACACGGTAAATTTTATTTAAATTTTGCATACAGGTGACCTTTTAGACACATAACTGTCCTATGTTGTCAACTTTACAGTTCCTTATAGTGCCTATTACCCATGGTCTACCTTAAGTTAGTCACTTACGAAATAAAAAAAAATATTTTACTGCACAAAACTTTAACCAGTAACAGCCAACGTCGTGTTGAGTTGAACAACTCTCCGTATATTTTGTTTAGTCGGGCTAAAAAACGAGACAAACACAATAAAGTTGTCTATTATATATAAACGTTTAATATAAAGATATAAAGAAATATAATATCTACAATATATGTATATACATGTTTGTGTATTTTTTAAAAGTAATATGATTATCAATATATATTTTTGTGTGTGTGTGTTTTTTTTTAATGTGTATGTGAAAGTATTCTATATACAATTCAAATGTATATGTGTAAATCAGATGTGAAATATAAGAACACGACATTCACTGGGTAGTATATTCAGCACATATCACAACACATCTTAACAGTTTTCACCATATTTAGATATACATGTACTTGCATTGTATATTCCAGTGGTTGTTACTCGAAAACCCCTGCTTTTTGTACGCTCGATGTAAAAAAATATATAGCGGCATTACTGAAAATCTATAAAAAATTCCTAATTGTTGTATCAAAATGTAAATATTCTTAAATATTAATGCCCCATTCAAAAGTATAGCTGTAAACATAGATAATAAAGCACTCTCAATAATCTACATGTATATAGATATGTACGAGATAACATCATTTGATATAATTTAATATTATTTCCATCCTCGGTGTAATTTGTTCGAAGTAAAGACAAAAACACCAGTGTCAATAATTCCGTATCAATGGACATGTTTAAAGTTATATCTTTTATTCTATTACTTGAAGCAGTCTTAAATATATACAGGATTCCACACACATTCTTAAATGCCTTACCCGTTTGGTCTCGGGCTTTTACATTAGCCCCAATTGCAAGCTTTTGCAATAAGTACTTTATAAAAGAACGTATCCTTACAATATTTCTACACACAAATAAATAAATCAATCAATCAATCAATCTGATAAATCGGGCCTTAGATGCCTTTTAACAATAGTTTGTTCTCTTCACAGTTTCGATTTAAAAATACATAGAGAAACTTCACAGTGTCACACAATGACGTTCATTAAATTTTATGTCTTTTTTATTCTAACTTGCTTAAAGAAAAATAATTGAACTGCAATCAGTAGAGTTTAAATTGACTTACTTTACACAATGTTTTTTTCTACTAGCTATGTGTGGTCTGTTGAAAATATACGTTCACATTTCCAGAATCAAAAAGAAATAAATGTAAGTCTGTTACAAAAGTAAAGCAGGTTGAAAGTAAATCAGGCCAAAGTTTTAACTTAACTTTGACAGCCAATGAAGAAAGACAAATCAGTATAATCTTTGAGTAGAAATATCGCTACAGTATTCAATGAATTTATGTCTCTTCGCCACTATCTCACTCCTTTAAGAAACATTCTTTTGAATTCTGAAAAATAGGGGAAAAACAAATTACATCTTTAAATAACATACATATATAATTATCTATAGATTACCAATTTCTTTCATTGAGTCAAGACGAATCTATATTCATAAAATTTCATATATCATTTAACAATTTATTATCTTATATAAATGATAAAAATGTGCCGGAACAAGAAAAATTGTACTAAAAAATGACATACATTTACTGACCTTTCTCATTTTAAACTGACCAGTTTCTATTATATGATAAGAGTATAAACTGACCGGTTTCTATTATATGATCAGAGTATAAACCGACCGGTTTCTATTATATGATCAGAGTATAAACTGACAGGTTTCTATTATATGATCAAAGTATAAACTGACCGGTTTCTATTATATGATCAGAGTATAAACTGACCGGTTCTTATTATATGATCAGAGTATAAACTGACCAGTTTCTATTATATGATCAGAGTATAAACTGACCGGTTTCTATTATATGATCAGAGTATAAACTGACCGGTTTCTATTATATGATCAGAGTATAAACCGACCGGTTTCTATTATATGATCAGAGTATAAACTGACCGGTTTCTATTATATGATCAGAGTATAAACCGACCGGTTTCTATTATATGATCAGAGTATAAACCGACCGGTTTCTATTATACGATCAGAGTATAAACTGACCAGTTTCTATTATATGATCAGAGTATAAACTGACCGGTTTCTATTATATGATCAGAGTATAAACTGACCGGTTTCTATTTATATGGTCAGAGTATAAAGCGACCGGTTTCTATTATATGGTCAGAGTATAAACTGACCGGTTTCTATTATATGATAATAGTATAAACTGACCGGTTTCTATTATATGATCAGAGTATAAACGGACCACGTTTCTATTATATGATCAGAGTATAAACCGACCGGTTTCTATTATATGATCAGAGTATAAACCGACCGGTTTCTATTATATGATCAGAGTATAAACTGACCGGTTTCTATTATATGATCAGAGTATAAACTGACCGGTTTCTATTATATGATCAGAGTATAAACCGACCGGTTTCTATTATATGATCAGGGCACTGATGATATAGAAACCAGTGGCATTATACTAAATGAGAAAGATCAGTTAATGCCTCTTATATTTTAGTATATATATCGTATATTCTAACACGACCCGCATTTTTTCCCTATTGAACATAGAAGGACCGAAAGTGTGTGCTTTTTAAGAAATAATATATCCCAAACAGTGATTTTATCGCTCAATAACATCACTGTTTGGAATTCGTATGCGAGGAATTATATCACGAGGGCGTAGCCCGAGTGATATAATGATGCGCATCCGAACGACAAACAGTAATGTTATCAAGCGATAAAATCACTGTTTGGGATATATTATTTCGATTCTAACACGTCATCAACAAATAAATGTTGCCGTAGTGGTTACGTCACGTGTATAATGTTTACGTCACATGTCTAAAAATAGAACGTCAAACTGTGCATCTGTTGCATGATAACACACACTTTCTGTTCTTCTATGTTCAATAGGGAAAAATGCGGGTCGTGTTAGAATATGCAATAAAATCACTGTTGACGTTTTGTATTTAGATATGTGACGTAACCATTAAACATTTGACGTATAGGCCAGTCAACTAAATCCAAAAATAGGCTTAACACAGAAAATATTTGCACAGAATTGAAACTTATATTTTCTGAAAGATTGTAACCTGTAGGTTTTAAAAACACAAAGTTCCCAAAAGTTCCCTCCTTGTAAAGTCAAAAATCCAAGATGGCCGCCATGAAATAGGATTTTTTAAAGAGAAATCGACTTTCAATCCTTTTAAATGGATCAAATATCAAATAAAAGTTGTTGTAATTGGTTCATTTGTAAGTCTATACATAAAATTGGAAATACATATACTATACACACTTCTGTTGTTACTATTTGTATTATTTTTATTGTCATTTCGCTCCAAAAAGTTGTTTTGTTGGGTTAGGGGTAAGTTATTCTAGTATTTAGAACTCAAAATATACATTTACAGGACATCTGGATGCTTAATCAATGCTGTATGTTTAGGCAAATGTAAAAAGTAACATGTGTGGTTGAACTTTCTATTATATCTAACAACATTTGAATTTGAAACATAAACTTGAGCTGAAACTGAAAATTCACGTTTTATACCATTTTACCATATAAATATAGCTACATATTTTGATTATACAACTTTATTAGACATGCTCTTTCAGTATAAGGAAATAAAAATGTATATTAGTTAAATATTTAAGTTTTTGTTTTCAGTTATTCAGGCTAATACCTCCAAAATCAAAAATACTTAGAGGGTATTGAATTTTAGAAAAACACATATTTCTGGAAAGATTTGCATAATATGGTGCAAAAATGTTAAATGTATATCATGAACAAATCAGTAAAAGAGATTGTTGGTGTAGGAATAGTTTCACCATGTCTTTAATAAATTGATTTATTGGATACAAAGTTTATACTTGAACAGAACTTTTAGAACTATGCATAAATTGCACAAGGTAAGATTATGGAGGCGAATACACAGTCTATATATATTAACTGTCTAAGGTACTGCTAGCATACTGAGCAGAATGGGTACGCCACAAGTGAAAGATAAAATTAAAGAGAGAGAGAAAAATAATTCCTAAAGAACGGGCAAAACGGCTCCCTAGCACCGAATTAAGCAGTATTCAACATCTGACCATGTAATGGTAAGATTTTTAATTTAAAAACATCTGCAAATGTGTTCATACGGTAGTTATCATGGATCCTTAAATGTGACACGTAAGTAATGTGACACGTAAATGTCATAGCATGAAAATGGTGTATGGTTTAAAGAATATATATATACGAGTATATATATACAAATGGTCGGAACTAAACAAAATACAATTTTGAAAGAGGATCAGAAGTCAAAAGGCAATTTAAAAACCAGAAAATACAATGTATCTCTTAAAGGTTATTAAACATTATACAAGTAAGGAATACTTTAACCATCCAGCTAGCAAAAAATAGAAATAAGTAAAAGTACCACAAAAACAGAAAAAGATTGTGTTGTGCAATCTTTAATGATCAGAAATATCACATCTATGGTTTTACGTAATACTGGTATAATATCTATGCTTGTCGACATTTTACGGCCTCCCACACAAACAACGTTGATGTGGAAAAAAAATAGTGAGAAATAAAATCTCTTATGAGCGTCTTAAACGGCAAAATTGAAAACGATGCAATGCGGGGTCGGTTTGATTGAGCCTGTTCATGGACTCTACTGGAAAGTGCAAGCTACTGTCCATGCTTTCTTGCACCAAGCTTAAATGTCAAATGCTTTACTTAAATCAAGCAAGATGAGTCGGTCTGTTAACTGTTAGCTAGATTTTGGGCTTGTGCATTTTCAAGCTCTAAGAATTGTGTCTCACATTGCCGCCTCTTGCAGAATCATACAGAGGATTTTGTGTTTTTTAAAATTGATGGATGAGATACATAGAACACGTCTGATGGGATATTGCTCTTTAGTTTGCATTAGCACTAGTATGACCTTTTTTAAACTGGCTTTGTCCAGTCTGAGGGAAGCTACCTTTATAAAAGTGTATTTTTGAAGAGAAGCGGTACTAGGTCAAGGAGTTTATGTCGTATCTCCTTGAGGCCAATGGACAAGCAGACTTATACTGTTTAGTAAATGATATACTTGCAATTGAATCTGTAGTCATTACAACTTTAGTGCAATGTTTTACTCGTGTTTAAAACTAGAAATGTGTCATCATGCCACGGATGCCCCCGCATGCAGCCAAAATTTCAGATGGTGCATTAATTATTTTTTACATTTTAAGTTCAAAGCCCTTAAAATTTTTCAATGTTAACACAAACCATTTTCATACAATATTCAAGGCACTGAAATTATTCAGTCTTAACCTTTTAAAAATAGCATATTGCATATTTGTAGACAAAATAATGGCTAAAAGTATGAGTGCTGAAACTGAAAGTTCAAAATTTTTCCAACATTCAGGAAAGATAAGTTTGTCTAAAATCATTGAACCACGACCAAATTCAAACTTAAACTGCCTATTCCTAAGATGTATCTATATTATTTTCAAAGTGAAAGGGACATAACTCTGCCAAAAAAATCACCAAACCATCATGACCAAATTCTAACTTGACCTGCCCATTCCTTTGACATATCCATATGTCAAATTTAAGTTGAATATGTAACACTGTTAGGTAGATAATGAACAGAAACTGTAAATTTCATGTTATTTTCAAAGTAAAAGGGGCATTACTCTGCCAAAAATCATTGAACCATGACCAAATTCGAACTTTGCCTGGGCATTCCAAAAACATATCCATATGTCAAATTTGAGTTGAATGTGTTGTACCATTGGGGAGATAATTAACGGAAACTGAAAATTTCATATTACTTTCAAAGTGAAAGGGGCATAACTCTGCCAAAAATCATTGAACCATGACCAAATTTGAACTTGACCTGCGCATTCCTTTGACGCATCCATATGTCAAGTTTGAGTGGAATGTGTTGTACCTTTGGGGAGATAATGAACGGAAACTGAAATTTTCATATTATTTTCAAAGTAAAAGGGGCATAACTCTACCAAAAATCATCGAACCATGACCAAATTCGAACTTGACCTGTATTTTCTCATGCCATATCCATATGTCAAGTTTGAGTTGAATGTGTTGTACCGTTGGGGAGATAATGAACGGAAACTGAAAATTTCATATTATTTTCAAAGTAAAAGGGGCATAACTCTGCCAAAAATCATCGAACCATGACCAAATTCGAACTTGACCTGTATTTTCTCATGACATATCCATATGTCAAATTTGAGTTGAATGTGTGCAACCGTTCTTAAGATAATGAACGGAAACTGATGATGACGGAATGACAGAATGACGGATGGACGGAATGACGGAACAGGGTAACACTATATGCCCCGGCCATTACATGGCGGGGGCATAAAAATAAATAAGTCAGGCTGGTGCCTGTCATGTTCTTATGCATATTGACATCACAAGCTATGATGTCAAGAAGGCTTTTAAAAAGGTGACAGATTTCATAGTATATTGGTCTTAAAAATATGTAAGTTGAAATAATTTAAAATAATTCGTTACAAATTATAATCTCTATAACACAATGTGCATAAGGATATATCCAGGTCACAAATACTGGTCAACTGTCAACTGTTGAATAGTCAACACTGTGACCATTCTGTTACTTATTCACATTTGTGAAGATTTTGAAATAACTTTGCAAAAATGATCACTGCTATGAAAAGATGCCGTAGATGATTACAATTGAGATCTGAAAATCTTGAGTAATGTGCATCTTTTTCTTTTGCTTTTAGTTGTTGTTTTTCTGGTTGTTTAATTTGACCATGCAAAATACAACTTTATTGAAATCTGATGAAATATATATGAAATGTTATACTCGTTAATGTTAAATATACAAAAAGAAATTGGTTGTAACTACTTAGACAGCACCGAACAAGTTATTTACCGTTCTTGATGATTCAAAAATAATTTAGTTTTCCTCGAACTCATTTACATTGCTCTCAGATAATATTTGTTTGTGAATAAAAACATTTTTGTTTTGTTACTGTTATATAAGTTGTTACAACAAACTAATTCCTGAATTTGACAGAGATGTTAACTAAAATGTAAAATAAAATCTATAAATGGATAGACTCTAGCGTATTTTTTTACTGTTTTATTTCCTTTTTTAACTATGACACATTATAAAAGTTGACACTTTTGTTGTTCTAAAAGTAGACACAAGAACTAGATTTCAGTTTTATATTTACTTATGAAATATGCAGTAAAAGATGTTAAACTTTGATATGTATAAAAATTCGCGAAGAAGAAGCAAAAGCAAAGTACATTGATGGAAAGATAGTCTATAATTGTGAATTCGAAGTTCATGGTGAATATTTTATCTAAACTGAAAACCACTTTTAATGCAGTATGCCTCCATATTCATACACGTTTCACTGAAAATTTAAATTAATTATTAAAAAGTAAAGTATTGCCAAGCGAACAAAGAAAGTAATTTACACATTGCAAATGGTACTTAAAATCTACGAAATTGAGAAATTATGGCCAGAATATGAAAAAAATGCCCTTACTGCATAAGTCAGGCAATAGAAATATGGTGATAAAAACACCAAATCAGCAATTGATTGTGTGAAACATGCAAACTATTTGAATTGTTAATAGTTTTATTTTTCTTAGTATTTTTTCTCAATTTTCAAAATTATTTTTTTTATTAATATTTTGGATTATCTGGAGGCATGAAGCTTCAAAAGTGGTTTTTAATTTAATTAACACATTTTCCATGAACTTCGAATTTACAATTATAGAATGAGTTTCCACCTTGTATTTAGAAACAGATGTGCGTCTATAAAGCAGCCAAAAAATAAAGTTCTTAGTAAATTAAAATTTTGCTAAATTAATAGTTTTAACCCAAGAATTTCAATTAAATGGAAACTTCCGGTAGCAATTTCAAATGTATAAAAAAAAAACTTGTTTTCTGGGAAAACAAATTAAATATTGATAAAACCCATAGATAGCATTTCGGATGAAAATGGCGGCCATCTTGGATGCCATTTTAGGCATGATATTAAGGTATGAGAAGCAGCAAATCAGAGAAATAAACGGAAAAATGTTTTTCTTTCAAACATTTCAACAAAAGAAAGGTTGTTTTTTGTTAGAAATCCCACAAATAGAGCATATAATATTATAAATATCACCATTTGAGACGCCATCTTGGATTTTGGAGTTTCCCGGGAGGGAACTTTTGGGAACTTTATGTTTTTATAATCTACCAACTAAAAGCTTTCAGAAAATATAAGTTTAAATTCTGTGCACATTTTGCCCGGGTATACTGAAGTCCAGGCTACTAGTAACAACTAACAAGAGCACCGCTAGGCGGAGCATTATATGCCCGAAAGTGTTTTTTTTTCGTAAGGATGAAGCATTTGTAAGCTGTTCCTCCTATAACATTTTACAGCTGTAGGTTGATTAATACTTAAGTTGTTAATAATGACCTTAACCTTTGACCTTGTGACCCCAAAATCAATAGGGGTCTTCTACTTTATATGGACACTCATCCTAAGAAGTTTGAATATTGTGGGCCAAATGGAAATTTAGTAATGCTCCGGAAACTGTTTTCAATTTTTAGGTAATAGTGACCTTGACCTTTTACCTTGTGACCCAAAAATCAATAGGGGTCTTCTATCCAATATGCACAATCATACTATGAAGTTTGAATATTGTGGGCCAAATGGAACTTAAGTTATGCTCCGCAAACTGTTTTTGGTTTTAAGGTAATTGTGACCTTGACCTTTGACCTTTTGACCCCAAAATCAATAGGGTCTTCTACCCAATATGGACAATAATCCTATGAAGTTTGAATATTGTGGGCCAAATGGAACTTAAGTTATGCTCCGGAAACTGTTTTCAGTATCAAGGTAATAGTGACCTTGACCTTTGACCTTTTGACCCCAAAATCAATAGGGGTCTTCTACCCAATATAGACAATCATCCTATGAAGGTTGAACATTGTGGGCCAAATGGAACTTAAGTTATGCTCTGGAAACTAAATTGCTAACGGACGGACGTACGGACGGACATTCTTACCAGAGCTACATTATGGGGTTTTCTTTTGTTATTTCTTTTGTTCTTTTTAACCCCACAATGCAGAAAATAACCCCACAAGAGAAACGGAATAAATGACATCAAAGACATCTATTGTTATGAGAATAATAGACCAAACCCCATAATGTAGCTCTGGTTTGTACGGACGGACAGACAGACGGACGCCAGGGCGTATAACATAATGTGCCCTTTCGGGCATATAAAAATGCGACGCGCTGAAAATAAGTACGGAAACAAATCAGGCCCAATTTAGCTTAATATCAGGTACGGCAGCATTTTTTTTTGTTAATGTCGTGTTAGAATCGAAAAAATATATCCAAATCGGCGATTTTATCGCTGTTTGTCGTTCGGATGCGCATCATTTTATCACGAGGGCCATGTCCTCGTGATATAATTCCTTGCATAGTGATTTTATTTAGCGATAAAATCACTGTTTGGGATATATTCTTAACTAAATGCTATCAACAATTATTATTCATCGTATTACAAACCTTTCGTTATTGACCAATTAACTTTAAGATGTTATAGAGGTAACATTTATTTTGCGATCGTAACGTGTGGAACTATATTTACTTAAGTCAACTTAACTTAGTCAAGTAAACCCTACCAATAATCAAATAGAGCGTAAAATGGTTATCAAAATGACTTTTAAACAAAATTATGAAAAAACGTCAAGCGCATTTTTCCTTACTTAACATTCAATTAGCTATATAATCTGACTTTTTTCTGTTTTCTTTTAATTGTAAGCATGTCTTTTCTCCTGTCTGTCGGCATGACTTAAAAGTCTGAACAACGATAAAAGCAATGTGTAAATGGACGTGTTTTTATAACTAGAGCTGACTACAGTACATAATTATAAAGTTTAGATTAATTATGATTATTAGCAGTGTATGTATAAACTACTTTATTACCTTTAAGGTCAATTTTTCCGTTGTTATTTTTATCCGCTTCTCTAAACATACTTTCTACTTCATCATTCGTCATCTTGTCACCAATGCTTGTTAAAACAACCTTCAATTCCTCTCTGTCTATTGATCCGTCTCCATTTTTATCAAATACTTTGAAGGCCCTATCTAGTCTGTCGCTTTCAGCTTCTGGACCGAGATCTTCCGAATCGTAATATTTTTCAACGCACTTTTTAAATTGGTCAAACTTTATTTTTTGACCTGTAAAATAAAAGTTTAAACATTTTAAACTTTAACTTAAATGGTTTAGCTTCAAATATTTGAATTTTGAAGTTGATAACTTAAGAAATGAAAAAAGTTATAGTAAAATATATTTTACTACACAAAAACTTTAATCCATGGTGAATAGGACAGTTCTGTAGAAGCACATTTATCTCGGAGCACATTTGTCTTACGTAAGACCGATGCGGTCGCATTTGTCCCACATGAGACAAATGGGACCTCAATGTCTATCCCAAAAAACTCATTTGTGTGACAAACGTGCTCCGATCAAGTTTTTTTAAGGGACAAGATAGCACATTTGTCTCCTGTGTTTTTAAGGGACAAGAAAGCACATTTGTCTCATGTCATTTTTAATGAATTATTTGTCACACATTTCCCCACGTCAGAAATACTTTTTTTAGAATCGAGGTTCGCCGTTTTACCTCATGTCAACTGTAATCATCAGGTTTGCTTATGCTTTCTTAATGAAAACCTAAAGTGAACTATTAATTATAATATCTCTAATTCAAGAAATTGGCTTAACCTGAAGGCGTAGACTGAAACATACTAAATCCCGTTCACGGTGGTACAATGGTGACAGCGCGATGGCACGATGGTACGTTGATGAAAACGCGATTGTGCGATGGTGAAAACACAATGGTACGAACGTGAAACAACGATTGTTTGATGGTGAAACAACGATTGTTCGATGGTGAAACAACGAAGGCTCGATGATGAAAACGTGATGGTACTATGGTGAAAGACCATGTTACGATGGTGAAAATACGATGGAACGATATGATGAAACTGCGATGGCATGATGATGAAAACGCGATATTATTTTCTCTATCGTGTCATCGCATCATCGTGATTTCACCATCGTGCCATCGTGTTTTAATCATCGTACCATCGTACCATCTCATTTTCACCTTTGTACCATTGTGCACAGCTGTTCAGGGAGACAAAAATGTTACTTATGTCCAAACGGAACATCGTAATCGGTTGATACTGAATGATACAATATCGTGCCTCGTTTCGCATCTCGCCGAATTCTCGCGTCTCGCTTTGCATCTCGTTCGTCGAAGCAAAACAAGAAATTGGTTCCAGGTCATACCGCTAAATAGTATTCCCTTTATAGTCTACATAAAATCACTTAAAGGCCCATTATGCCTGAGGAATGCTTTTATTTGTATTCCTCAAAATTAAAGCTTTTTTTATTTTTGGTATACTTTCATAGCTCTAAAAAGATACTCATTGGCTAATTACCTGAAGCATTTTTCACCTGCTGCTTTTTGCAGTTTGTTCAGTTGAAGTGATTTAGAATTTTGTATTGAAGTCAAAATACTCCTTTGTTTACATTTTGCTACTTTTATGACGCATTATTTCACATTTATCGCGAATTACTTTGGGTTAATACAAGCATCTAACTTCCTCAGAAATCATTATTTGAATATTGATAAACTCATACTTGCCCTAATGTATTCATTTCTGAGGGATACTTCGACATTGCGAGATCTCGTGTTACAATATCGTGCCTCGCTTCGTGTCTCACCGGAATGTCTCGTCTCGCCCGATTCTGAGTGGCCCGATATTCCATAATTATGGCATTACCCGGATTATTTTAGGAGCTCATGCATGTTGTAAGTGCTTTTTCAATGGCGGATCTGAAAGCCTCAATTCTTGGAAAATGACTATTTTTATACATATACATGTATTTCTTATGAAAACAAAACGTGTGTAATGGTCTTCTTATTTTCTTCCATAGATCATTTAAGGGCCTCCGTGGCCGAGTGATTTCAAAAACCGCTGTAGGTTCGACACATACACGGGGCGTCGAACTATTCATGCGACGATCCCGGTCAGGGTCCAAATGCGGAATACATATCCGCGTGCGCACGTAATAGTATCGCGTGGCCACGTAAGAAAAAACTACCGTGTGCGCACGTAATAAATAAGAAAATTTTATGTCTCCTTTATGCCACCTAAGATACTACCTTGTTTTGCTAAGAATATTTCTAGTGCCATAAATCATCTATAAAACTTTAAGCATTGAAAATAAACGTATCACAATTAATAACGATAAGAATAGACTTGCTGCATTTGTGTTTAGGTTCTGGATGCTGCACTTGTATAAATTTTCATTGTGACATGCAGAACAGGGATAATCTTTAATTTATTATATGACTCCTATGCAGAGGCAGGAAGTTTTTGATTGACCGGAAGTGACCTAAAACGGTATTATAAATACAGAAAACACAGAACAAGGGCTGGTAGCCGGTAAACGGACGGGCATAATTATTACCTTTTAAGTTTTTAATGGAAAAAAATGTGAGACAAATGTGCTTCAAGTGTCCTTTCTATTGTGTGTCGAAAACATCTGTCTCACTTCTATTTTGTCGCAAAAATGAATGTTTACGAACACATCGGTCACACTTCGTGAGACAAATGTGCTCCGAGACAAATGTGCCTTCACAGTTCTCCATATGTTTGGTAAAGTCGAGTTATAATGTTCGCAGTCAACGTTTTTCTCAGTCGGTAATATGTGAACACCTACCTGCTTTAACACCCATATCTTTTAATAGAGCATCAATTTCCGGTTTTGTAGGGTTGTTTCCAAGTACTTGTAAACCCATTACAAGTTCGCTTATTGAAACTTCACCATCATTGTTTTTGTCAAAATTTTGAAACAGCTTCCTGATATCTGAAATAGGAAATTATGAATTCATCAAAGGCTTGTTGCTACTTAAAAGTTGAGATAGAGTTAATTAGCTATTTACATAATTAGCAGTGTTCATAATTCTATATAACAAAATTAAACAGCATAGATGTTTTCTTTTTAATAATTGTACGTGCGAGAACTGAGGAATTGAGACTTACCATTTTCGTTGGCTTTCTTTTTTTGTTGTTTCCTGTCCTACAAATAAAATACAATTTTCACTATAAATATCAGAAATGACAATAACAAAAGAAATAATTACTTATAAAGACAAGGATAAAGAAAATGTGTTCATTAAATGGCCGTCTAGAAGAAATAAGAAAGTACAAATCAAATTGAGTCAATACATACTGTGAGAGTTTCAGTTAAGCATCGTAACACCGCACTTTGGGATCAAAATAATTTTGGTAAATTATTAACTAGTATTTTAACTTCAAAGGTAGAAAAATGGTTTGATGATAATAATATGTCATCAGACGCCCAGTTCGGTTTTAGAAAAGGGCTCAGAACTGTGGATGCAATTTTTGTTTTACATAATTTAGTACAACATATAACAGATTTCCGTGCGCTATTGTCGATCTTAAAAAAAGCGTTTGACTCTGTGTATAGAAACGCGCTTTGGTATAAATTATTTAAGATGGGCTTGGATGGTAAAATTTTAAAATATTCAAAGCTATGTATTCAGATGTAAAATCTTGTGTAAAAACATTGTAATACATTTTCTGACTTCTTCAATATATCGATAGGCCTAAGGCAGGGACAAAATAATTCTCCGGCACTTTTCGCATTATTTTTAAAGGACCTTGAATTATTTTTACAAAACAGAATGGATTGTGGTCTCAATTTTTATGAATTATGTATTTTTTTATTGTTTGCCGATGATATGGTGATAGTTGGCAGATCACAAGAAGACTTACAAAAATCGCTAAATACCGTGTATGAATATTGCAAATAATTGAGGTCAATACGGACAAAACCAAAATTGTTGTTTTCCGTAAAAGTTCAATTTAAGTGAAAAATGGTATTATAATGAGAAACATTTTGAAGTTGTTAACGATTTTAATTATCTAGGGGTTGTTTTTATTAAACAGGTTCTTTTGTTTTAAAATTAATACGCAGTGCTTAGTAGGGAAAGGTTTAAAAGATATGGGCATTTTATTGAATAAGATAAACAAATTTCATCTAAATCCTCATGTTTCACTACAATTATTTAATGCCTTTGTTGGCTCAATACTTAATTATGCATGTCCGGTTTGGGGTTTTACTAAATCTAAAGATATTGAAAGGGTACACCTAAAGTTTTGCAAATCAATATTAGGAGTAAAACAATGTGCTAGTAATAATGCAGTGTATGGCGAATTAGGTAGATACCCCTTACATATCAACATATTACATATCAACAGATACATACAAATCATTAAATTTTGGCTTAAGCTTGTAAATACGGATAATATTATACTGAAAGAAATCTATATAATCTTATTTTTCACGTCTTTTTATTTCTATGAATGATAATGATGTTGTGATGTTCTGTTTTTCCCTTTATTTGCAGCTGTCTGTTCTCCGTTTGAAACAAATTTTCTAGAATGTCATTAGTTAAAAGTTTTTATGTTCTTATTATTTTTTTTCTTTGCTTTTGTCACGTGACCACAGAACTATTATAATTGTATGTAACGAGATACTGTAAATGTATAAGTTACTGAAATAAACTATTTCTTCTTATATTAATGCTTATCTATATGAATACATAAAATTGTCCAAAAAAAGGTACAAAGGCTTGGTATAAAGATGTTTTTATTGAGTAAATCACTGCTTGATTATTATGAATCAATAAAATTTCACAAAAGGCACAAACACATCAAAAGTTATGGAGATACAAGCTTACACGCAAAAACTAAACCAAGAATTTCTAAGTCGAAAAGGGGGCATAAATATGCAAAAAAAAACAAATAAGCAAATAATAGTTATGGGACTTGTGCCAATCATGTTAGATAATCACAGAGAAGATGTGTGTGGAGTTTCAATCCATTCCCTTCAGTAGTTACGGAGAAGCCAGCTTACACGCAAAAACTTAACCAAGAATTTCTAAGTCGAAAAGGGGGCATAAATATGCAAAAAAACAAATTAGGGTTATGGGACTGGAATTAAAGCAAATATGAGTAATGGGACTTGTGCCAATCATGTTAGATAATTACAGAGAAGAAGTGTGTGAAGTTTCAATCCATTCCCTTCAATAGTTACGGAGAAACCAGCTTACACGTAAAAACTTAACCAAGAATTTCAAAGTCGAAAAAGGGGTATAAATATGCAAAAAAGCAAATTATTAGAGTTATGGGACTTAAGCCAATCATGTTAAATAATCACAGAAACAAGCATGTGAAGTTTTAATCCATTCCCTTCAGTAGTTATGGAGATACTTGCTTACACGCAAAAACTTAACCAAAAATTTCTAAGTCGAAAAAGGGTCATAAATATGCAAAAAGCAAATCAGAGTTATGGGACCTGTGCCAATAATGTTAGATAATCACAGGGAAGAAGTGTGTGAAAAAAGAGAGTGAAATAAAGACAGCCCAACACGGCAAAATTGAAAATGTTGCAGGCTCGGTTTGATTGAGCCTGTTCATGGACGGTACTGTCAAGTGCAAACTACCGTCCACGCCCCCTAGCACCGGCTTAAGCAGAATTCAACATTTAACATGAACTGGTAAAATTTAGAATTTTGAAACATCCGCAGATGTGTTCATATGGTGGTTATCATGGAACTTTCAATGTGACACGTTACTGCCATTCCACGAAAAGCGGCATATGGTCCCCAAGTAAAAAAAATGCGTGTGCCCTAAACGAGAAAACAATGGGCGGAACTATGATAATAAAATGGAATTTTGAAAGGGGATCTGAGGTTATGAAGCCTGCATATCACAGATATAACGCCAAAAGACAAATTAAATCAAAGCACTGCAAGCACTGAGGTATACATTGCTTGACATCAAGACCATGTGATTTTAATCTAATGAACTCAATAGAAGTCATCTTTTGGTTACAATCAATTTCGAACACAAATCTAGGCTTATTTCTTCTCAAGTTATTAATAGGACAAGAAAGAGGTGTTGTTCCTACAGACTAGTGCTGTGTTTTTCCAGGCAAGACTATATGGTTTGCGAAATTGAAGAGCAATACAGAAATCAGTTTGCAAAGATCGGTTTATTATCTGCAGTATACAATGCTGAAATAGTAAAATAGAGTCTTCAGTGTTTTTATATATTACTTTAAAAACAAGACCAACATGTGGGTTTGTAGTCTACAAAAATGTGGTATTGAATCATTCAGCATTTTTGTTTACATGCAAAACGCATTCACTGGAAAAAATGCACTCCATAGTGCAATTATCGATTCAAAATAAAAGCATTTGTACTTGACAAAATTTAGGCATCAAAGCCCTAAGCTCTAGCCTTGTACATTCTTAAATTTTTTTCTACAAGTACATTACGAAAATTAATGACCCCCCAACCCTCCACAAGGCAAATTTTATCCCAGTGCTAAAATTAAAACAATCTTGGTAGAGGTCGACTACACAATGCTTCATGCCAAATATCTTACCTCTAGTCTTTGTCAATTCAGAGGGGAATACTGTTTAAGTTTTTTTTTTCTATACATGTATATACATTTAAGAAAATCCTAAGACACCATGGTGCCTGGTAAACCTTGTATCTTCAGACAAGATTTTTTTTAAAGTTTTTTACTATATACATACCATATAATGAAAACCCAAAAGACTCCTTGGCAGAGCCATTTTGACCCCAGGGCTATAATTTGAACAATAGTGATAGAGGTTTATTACACACGTAAAGGTTTCATGCCAAATATCAAACATCTAGCCTTTGTCAATCCAGAGGAGAATATTTTTTAGGTTTTTTTTTCTATACATGTTTATACATTTAAGGAAAACCTATGACACCCTGGTGCTATTTCACTAGGGGCAACATTTGAACAACTTTGGTAAAGGACGTACTGATGATATTATTTACCAGTATCTAAGCCTTAAACCTTCTGATAAAAAGATTTTTTTAAAAAAGTTTTTGCTATAATACATATAAGGAAAACCTTAATATATATGACCCAGGGGTGAGGCTAATTTTGACTCTTGGGCTGTAACGTGAATAATCTTGGTAGAGGTTAACTACCAAATGTTTCATGGCAAATATCTAACCTCTAGTCTTTGTCAATTCAGAGGAGAAGATTTTAAGTTTTAACTACATACATATCAGGAAAATCTATGAACCTAGTGCAAGGCTAATTTTACACCCAGGGTATAATGTGAAAATCTTGTGAATGTCTACCAGACAATGCCTTTTGAAAATATCTATGCTCTAGGCCTCATTTAAGTCTTTGAACAACTTTGGAAGCCCTTTACTCATGGAACAACCCTGTCAAGTTTGGTTGAAATTGGACAAGATGTTTTCAAAAGATGTTAACTATATAATGTATAAAACACACACACAGGCACGCATGCATGCACACACACACAAAAGAGGGGAATCGCTATATGCCAACACAGCATCTACATGCACCAGACAGCAGTCCAACACATTTCATTAAAAATAAAATGACAATTACATTGTTGATGTGTTGAAAGCCTTGTGAAATTTAATAAAATTAAGCTTTATAATATCTAGAATAAACTTTCATTTTTTCATTCCAAACTGTAAACAAACAATATGAGGTATGGTACATTTTATGGTCAACCAAGTGGATCTCATTGGAGCTAGGTGGAGAGGAGTGTGGGAATCTAAAGATTAGTAAATCATGTTTGCTTACTGAGTTCATCAGAAAGTATTTAAGCACTAAGTTGAAATTTATATGGCATAATGCACTTTATGTGTGTTAATATGCTATATATCAAAATTAAATACTCAGTATCTTTTTTTTTGTTGACTATAAACTTAAAGAATTAATAAATTTTCTTTTATATAATCTATGAATTCAGTTTATAGTATCTTTTTTGGTTTGACTTTTATCACAGCCTGTGCTTTTTTGTGATACCATACTATTGTTTTACGGCACCTTTACTCCAAGTAAGCAAATGAAGTAATTGAAGACCAGGACCTTGAGTGTAGTAACTTCCTTTCTGAGTGGGGGATCTGAACATCACTGTCTGTCCTGTCCACCATGTTTCGATATCGGATTTGTCTTGGTACAGA